CTTTGCCTTCTCACCCCTTCCTCCAAGTCCCCAGCTGCACAGCAGAAAGGCAGCACATCTTTAAAGGTCATATGCTGGTGCTGGCTTGCTGGGGTAGGGGAGATTGGCGTCTGACTTGCGGTGCAGTGTCGTTTTCCCTAGTGCCCACAGCTCAGTGACAGGCTGTTTTGAGGATGTCACCCCAGAAGCAGGATGAATATTTGGGGTCTGAGTTGGATGACAGCTGTCTAATATTGAAGAGAAGTGTAAGAGGACGGTGGTGTGGACCTGGCAGCAAGGGACCAGCCCCCTGATTAATATCTTCACATGAAGCCTGGAAAGAGTGCCCTCCCCACCCATCCACCCATCTGACTGCCTCAGAGAGCAGGGGGGGCATTTTCTGGCACTGTGCTGGCAGAAGAGCAGCCCTCGCAGCAAGGAAATAATGGTCAAAAGCAGGGCAGCTCTGAGGTACAATGCACACATGTCTCCCTGGAGCGATGTGCAGAAGGCACCAGCCCAAACGCACACAGTAGGAAAAAAACTCAGCCGCCTGAAAGATAGACAGTGCAAAGAAATTAATGAAGTTTGTGTATTTGCACAAGTTTTGCACAAGAAGCTGTATCTGGGGTCACACGTGCCCATGACTTTGCACCTCCTGTAAATTGCTGAGGTATAAGGGATGAGAAAGAGGGGTGGGGGGGAGTGGTGGCAGGGAATATTGCAGGTTTCCATACTGACCTGTTGGGCCAGAGGGATGTGGGTCATGCAGCTCACAGAGCACCCCAGGCTATCTGCAGTCCCCTGGCAGTCAAAACTGGGGAGAGCATCTGCTCCCTCCCTGCCCAGGGTGGAGTTGTGCCCGGACACCAGCATACACCTGGGGGTGGTTTTTCTCCCTGTATAAATCATCCCTGGGGGAAAACAGGCATTTCAAGCACACCTCCTTGCTCCAGACACCCCACTTGTCTGGGCAGAGGGCATACAAAAGGTGAGAAAGGGACCTGGTGGGTCATGGGGGAGCCCAAAGTGGAGACTAAAACAGAGATAACAAGAGATTTCTCCCCCCAGTGGTTAAATAAGTTATTTGGGTCCATTTACTTGAGCTTACTTTTTTTTGGGGGGGGGAGGTTATGAATTATTTTGGAGCATTTCTTTCAGATTTTTCTGCAAGAGGTTCATAAGTTTGTGGGGAAACCCAACAGCTAATGAAAAACTCCTCAGTTGCTCTGATGAGGAAAATGCTAGGGCCCCATGAGTGGCCAGGTAAAGTTCACGAGCAGAGACTATGAATTTCTTGACAGTGTCATAAGTCCAGAACAGCAACCTCAGGCATCTTTATAAAGCAGCAGCACATCTTTTCTTATAGGGGTCAGGCTGCCACCGCATCCTGCTCAAAGTAGTACCGCAGGGGAACTAAACCAGAATTCCCAGATAGGCTCTGTCAAGCTGTCTTCCCTCTGGCTCAGCTATCTGAGACTTTCAGCCCCACTCTCTAGCCATATACGAGAGCCTTAGCTGGGCACAATGTACTGAGTGGCAAGGGTTGGGGGGGGGAGAAAGTTTATCCCTTTTTATGCCATTTTGTCAATGTTGTTCTCTATTAGACTTTTTCTTCAATAGGAATTGTTTCAATTTAGACCTCTAGGGATAGTCTACGCATAATTTTTCATACTGACTTAACCATATTAGCTTCAAAGCCAATGTAATTAAAGTAGTATTCCCTCCTCCTCCACAGTCACACTTTAACTGGTATAAAGGGACTCCTAATGGTACCGCTTACATGAAAATGAACTGCATTAATTCTTCCTTCTCTGCACACCTGTATTACCATCTGGACAGCTGCAGCATTGCCAGGGGGTGGACTGGGGATGAAATACGGAGACCCTTCTGATAAAGTTGAATGGGTCCAAGCATAGGCATGTAATACTAACAAGGCAGACTACCTCACACTCTGGTCTTACACATAGTGAGACAGACTGAGAATCAGCATCTGCTTGGGGAGAAGGGATCTAGAAAAGTTTGACTTGTGGCACTGTATCAAGAAAGCCCCAAAAGAAAATAGACATTCAAGCTTCTGGTCTCACACCAGCATTAGGATCTCCACTCCTGACAGCAGAGGACAATGCAGCAGGTTCAGCTATTGCCTTCGACCGTGTCCTCCTACACACAGCCCTGTCAAGTTTCTCGGCTCCTTGTTTGGATGCTGAAGCTCGCAGCTGTCCCTCCGCTCTCCCTGCCCTGCTTTCCCATTGCCCAGGCTCCAGGTCTCCTTCTGCAGCGAGGAATTGCGCCCTGCATCAGGCGAGCGCCACTAAGGCACCGCAGCCATCTTCCCCACACAGATGCCAAAGTGCAACATAATTCCACATTTGTCACTTCCCAGGCTCCTTCCCCAGTCTCCCTGATTTGTGATTTCTATTTCAGGAGCTCTGCAAAGGAGCTCCACTGATTAATCCTCCCTCTATGAACTAAAAGTAGCTGTAATCCCAGGGCATGGGGGAGGGACCCTTAAACATCCCTGGTGGAAAGAGGCAGTATTAATTCTGGCATGGGAGCAGCACTTAGCTTGCCTGCAGAATGACTTAATTTGTTTCTTAATGGACACGATGCTTTGCTGATAAAAGCCCTAAAGTGCCTTTAAAAAAAAATTAAGAAAGTGATTGTTCATTCTTTACTCATTGGAGGTTTCATTTGTAATGTTTATACTCCAGCCTGGAAAGTGGAAAGGGTTATGCTCCGGATGGGAACTTAACACACATGCAGGCCCTGGTACTTTGTTAACTTTGAAAGGGAGGGGAGGAGCCCACAACAGAAAAAAAGCAAGGAGAAGATCTCCTAAGGAGTAACTGCCTAGCCAGAGCTCCAGGGCAGGCCAGGAGTGATGCCTAGGTACCTAGGGAGATGTTTTACCTCTGAGCTTGTGTGCTATAGGAAGTAGAGATGGAACATTAAACCCTGCATCTAAATTTTCCTAAACTATAAGGAAAGTCAGCTCCACCAGGAGTCACGTTCCCAAAAGCTGGCACCAAAAGCTGCTCCCTGGGCACAGAGTGCTACCAACTACTTGGCCCTTCTCTGTACTGAAGCCTTCAGGTGCTAATTTCCCTACAGCTGATGCTGTCTCAGAGTGATGGAGGAGGTCCTGGAGATGGGAATAAGGAAGAGCTTTTTAGATTATGAATGACATCAGAATATCAACCAAATATTCAGAAACTAGAAGTCAGATCACTGCTTGGCTCTGGATCTTGGCTGAGGTCTTTGTTTTGGCTGTTTCTGCACACTGAATTTGTGCTGCTGACCACTGCCAGGGACACAGTGCTGGGCTAGACCACTCATTCAATCTAACATGACAGTTCCCATGCCCCATAATGCACAATGGCCAACAAATTCCTAGAGACCCCAGGCTTTCACATTAGTCTCAAAATTCAGGTTTTGATCCCGAGCCTCAAGCGCTAGGTCTCCTGCTTGTACTCGTTACATTTGCTTAGAGTTGCTGTACAAGTGCCAGCTCCAGCACTGCCATTTCTGCCCAGCTCTGTGGCATGCAAAGACTTTCTGGCATCTCTTTAATATGTGCTGTGTACCAGCGATGGTGCTGCAGCAGCACTGCTTATGTTTCCTGGAAGCCTTAGCAAACCATCCCCTTCCACCTCTCCTTGTCCAGGACCCCTTGTTTGTTTTTTCTCACTCCAGGTTTGTTGGAGATGCATGGATGGCAGGAGACCATCACCTCTTATGTTTGGAAGCCTCTTCTAGTAGGATCATGAAGGTGGGAAAGGATCCCCTTGTCAGAGGCCTATCCTTCTCTCCAGGCTGGGAAGAGTAGACCGTGTCAGAAATGCAGGGCCTGGAGGTCAGGGTCCTCCCCCATCAGAGAGCTGCCTCCCTGCCTGGGAGAGGAAGAGAGAGCTGCAGGGCTTCCAGGTGTGGGGACTAACAGAGGTGAGGAGCCAAATGTAAAACATCCGAGCTCATGGAGAAAACCTGATGATCCAGGAGTATCAGCAGGATGAGGGAAGATCTTGCAGAGATCAGAGCTATAAAGGGCAATAAAGCAAAAGAACGTGACTAGCTACTAAAAATAAAGGTTCTTGAGTCAGACTGCATTAGCCTATTGACTTTAGCAGCAGAAAAATACCCTAAGTACAGAGCAACTAGGTACAGAATTCCTCTAACTGGGCCAGAGCTAAAAGAGAAGGAAGGTGCACAGGAATCTGTTTTAGTGTCATGAGTGTTCAGCAAGCTTAAAACACTGGTGATAGCTGCATTTCCTTCCAGCCCACAAAGCAGAAAGGGCACACTTGTGCCTTCAGAGCAGGAAGGATGAGCATGAGAGAGATACAGGGACTTGGCACCAGGCAAGGTGAAATTCCCTTGGCACTGGGCAAATCCAGGCTGAAAGCAGTTTGGAAAGACCCATGCTCTTTTGAGCTTCCATCCCTCCAGCCTAGCAGGGTTCAAATATAACCTTACTTGCTTGTACAGGAGAACCCAGGGAAATCCCTTTTCCTAAATGTGCTGCTCTCTGGCACCAAGCATCCAGCCCAAATCCCAACCTCACTTCCACAGGCAGCATTATCATCATCTGAGCAACTTCGGGCTTAGAGTGGTGTCACCAGCATCAGAATCAGCCCTTCAGTCATTCCTAGCATGAGACTCCGTTTCCCTCCCCCTCTTCTTCCCTATATTTTCTGCAGTCTGTAATACCATTTTCTAAAAATATTACAACGTGCAGTTTACTTCTGGCTGCTTCTTCAAGACCTTCCTGTACCTTCACCTCTTCCCCACCCCCACTTCCCCACCTCTGCAGGAATTTCACAAATCACTGCAAGCTACGCTCCCCTAACACGAGGACATGCATCACCTAAACACCCTCTTCACAAACTGCCTTTCACCTCAAGGACAATAAAAAAGATGCTCCTGCTGGCTGGTCTGCTTCTCACCTCACAGAGGATGTGTTAGGAAAACTCCAGACGCAGCAGTATATTGATCTAAATTAAACACACACACACAAAATCTAATTGAACTGACAGGAAACTGCTGTTTAAAGGCAGAAAATTAAAGCTGTTAATATAATAATGAACAGTTGTGCTTACTGTCTGTGCCACTGACATTTCATATTGTCATCTCACCAGCTAATCACCGCCTCTCCCCCTTTTGTGGGAGTTAATGTGTTTTCATCCATTCACCCAACAAGGTAGCTCTCCAATTGTTTGACAGTTACTAATATATCCAACCTGCTAATGAGCCACAGAGCTGGAGCCGCTCAGGTGATGGAGTAATAACAGCTGCTCATCGCTCGGGGCTGAGATTTTGGACCCTGGCCCTGGATGCAGCCACTGGGCGATGGCTGTGCATCCCCTACGGCACTCAGCTGCAGCTTTGCAAGGCATTGGGCAGCTCTGCCCATTCCCAGAATGAGCCCTGGAGGTTTTGAAGGTACCGTAAAAACTGCTGGTCATGGTCTTGATAGAAATTTGTCTCTTCTGATCCGCATCTGACTGCTGAGTGGGCTTCAGCCTGAAGAAGAATTTCAAACAGCCTTTGCAAGTTTGGTGGCCAGCCACCACCTGCCTGCTCGCCCAGACTCATGGACTTGAGCACCACAGCTCGATGGCAGTTTTCTCTCAGGAGCTGTACTCACCGCTGAATAAATATCTCTGCTCACAGATGGGGAACCCAAGAGGAAGAGGCAAGGACAGGCTTGCTTGTGAGTCAGCGACAGGACGGGGAAATGGACCATTGCTCCAGCCCCTAGATCTGCCAGTTTCCAAAGCAGAAAAAGGAGAAGAGGAATGAGGCTCATCCACCTTTCAAGATGACCCGCAAGCTGATTTCCTCCACTGATTTTCCAATAAACTTGACTAAATCGCTCGAGTGCTTTCTTGACAGCCTCAGCATAACAGAAAGGGCACCGTGCTCCCCTAAGGTAGCCCCCATGAGGGCTACACAAGCTCAGAGCCTGTGGAACAAAATTTACATTATCCAGGCCAAATTCTGCTTTGTGCTGCACACCAGCCATACCCTGGGTGGTGTGTAATTACCTTTTAGAGGGGTGAGCTTTAGCTAGTAGAGGGGTGAGCTTGGAGGTGTTAAAGTGGTTGCACCTGTGGCTATTTGTCATCATGACCAGGAGACACCTGCTTCTGCTTGCACAGCCAGTGTGAGCAGAGTCCTCGGTCCAGCTGGAAAAGAGGAAATCCCAAGGAAGGAGGGAAAAGGCACAGCTCTCCTGATCCATCACCATGAAGCAAAGAGACTGTGTGGGATTAGAGAGTGAGCTGTGGAGACTCACACTTCGGTTTCTGACTTGAAACACAGCGGTGAGCAGGTCCTGTGGTGACATCCTTACTGAGATTTCCAGAGGACAATGGAAAAAAAAACTCTGCAATGTGTGTCCCTTGGGGAAACTTTCTCCACCACTCATCTCATAGAAACTGGCTTCTGCCTTGAAGCATAGGGATTTATAGTCCATCGTATAAAATCAAGGGTGTTTCCATTATCCATGTTAATGCATAATTTTTTTTATTCTGGCCCCATTTTGGTTTTTGGACATATTAATTTCCAACAGCAAGGAGTTCCACAGACCTGGAAGTATGTACTGCATTAAAAAAAAAAGTCCTAGTTTTTTTCATGCAGTTTTTCTATTTAATGAGTCATCTCCATGAAAGAATCAGGAGCATCCAGTATACCTTCTCTAACCCATCTATTCTTTTACTCCTATCCACCATGTCCCATGTTATTTATCTACCCTTTTTGATAAAGAGATCCAGTATTTTCCACCCCCTTTCCAATTTTTTTTTTCTGTCTGGTTAGCAGTTCCTGCATCACTTTTACTTCTCTTGCACCTCCTCTGGCTAGTTCTTCAGGACTGAGTACACTATTGCACGTAAAAGCAAGCTATTTAGCAATATTACAGAATTAGCACATATTTGATCCATCACATTTCCAGCTGTTCTTTGTTTTGCTTTACCATCTTCCATGTGCTAGAGGGGTTGGTTGCAAGGAGCTCTTTGCACTGGGAAGCTCACTTTTTCTTCTCTTAAGTGAAGACACAGCAATGTCATTGAATGGTTTAAATGATCTCTCCCCACTACTCATTCATGACGGCACCAGCATCTTCAGGAAACAGATTATTGGCTTTGTTCAGGTTAGTAGTTTCCCATCCTTTGTATCTCTGTTTGCCTGTCACCTCCTCTTTCAGCTCTCTCTGCTTATCGGGCTGCATGAACTGTTCCCAGGTCCCTGAGTTAGCCCCACATAGGCAGACCCACGACAGACACTTGGAGCAGCACTGATAGAGATGATTTGAGACCTCTTCCCCCCACCAGTTCTCCCAGTTCATCCAATTCCAAATCATCCAATTCCACTGCCCCCTGCCAGACAGGTGAAGAATGACATAGCCCCTGACACTGCTGCCACACAACTCTCCCGCAGCTTGAGCCAGGCAGGTTCGCTTCAGTGCTCGGTCTGATAAAATCCAGAGGACAGTCGGCAAAGGCCAGTGAACAAGCAGGGACAGCAGAAATCCTGTTTCAGCAGGAGAGAGAGGACAGCAAGGCAAAGTGTAGGGAGGCCGTCCTGCAGAGCAGGGCTGACCCCGCAGCCACTGCACCACTGAGCATCAGCGCAGTCCCCAGGGGTTGCTGCTGATGTCAGGGATGCTTGATGGAGATGCTTCACCTCTGGGCAGCCCCAGCTGCTGGTAACACATGCTGCATGGTAGTCAGCGGGGAAGGGGATGGAGAGGTCAGAAAAACCAAGAGGTGATGAATTGTAGCAAGGAATCAGCTCTTGCTGTAGTCTGGCCCATCCTTGCCTGTGGGGAACGGATGGTAGGTGTTGGGTGTAAATCAGGGCTGCTGTGCCTGCCTTTCCCATCAGGACTGGGCCCAGCAACATCCTCTTACACACAGACCCCTTACTGTCACTTGTAGGACACATCCAGGCTTGCCCTGCAGTTTGCCATGCAGATGTCTCTTCTGGGGCTCTGTGCTCCTCCTTTACCCAGCCCACAGCACAACAGAGAGGAACCCAGAGTCCACTTCCCCAGGGACGGGCATAATTTCCCATTGCCCAGGCAATAAAACTACCTTTCCTAGTTTTATAGACACCTGCTGACAGGCTTTAAAAATAGGGGACCCAATTTCCATTTTCATGGTGTTCCCTTATATAATATAAAGGAGCTTTAAATTGGAGTGATCTATATTCATCTCATGGCTTCTTTCCGCTGCCAAAGTGCTATAAAATCTGTTGTAGTGTAAATGAGAATCAGGTCCAAAATGTTCCTCCACAGCACAGACCAGCATTGGCCCCTCCAAGGCTTTTAGCAAGGCATCGGGGAAGGGAGGGTTGAGAAAAAAATTCCAGGTGGGAGGAAAGTAGGAGGGCAGGGAGGAAAACGTGACCTCGACAGGTGTGTTTGGGAAATAACCCTCTGCCAGCTGGTGGCTGGGGATGGTTCCTACGTATCCGAATGCTCAAAGAGACCACAGGTGGGTGAATTAGTGTGGGTTTAGTGTGAGAGAAACAGGCACAATGCAGGTAATATCTTCTGCATTATGTATTATACTATATACCTGTATGTGTATAAATTGACACACTGATAACCCCAGGTTTTGGCAAATCTTTTCAAATGTGTCTCAAGTACTGCAGAGATCCAGTGGATTACTGATAATTCAGAGTTATCCTTCCTGTACAAGATAACCGGTTTCATATGCAGTGTAAGCAAATGCATCAAGCAATTTCTTGGTTCACCCAACTGTAGCTGCTAGTCATGCTAGGATTTATGTATTAACTGCGTTGGATCAAATGTCGGCTCAAATGTTGGATAACTTGGGGAGGGAGGCCAGTGTTTTTACGACTGAAATTAGAATGTGCTGGAAGAAGAACAGGACTGTGCACAGCAGCTTACTTTTTTAACCCCTGACAAATGCCGCAGGCAGCAAGGCTGATCGCCTCCCCTGTTAAACCTGGGAAGGTGACTGTGGTTTTGGTACACACCCAGCTTATATCAGGAAAGCCACTGCCATGGGCAGCGCTCCCCTCCGACCACCTCTTATACACCGATGGGTGCAAAGAGACAGCTGGGACTGCCAGGCTTGGACGGGGAGGTAGCGCACTGGCCATGAGTCAGAGAGCATCAGCAGCTCAGCAACAGGTTTCTGTGGCTGCCAGCCTCCAAAAACACATCCTTTTCTTTCTGGGTGTCTGTTCTGCCTCTCCTCTCACCACTCATGGACGAACCAGAACAGATAGAAAGCATTATGGTTTTATGACTGAGATCCACAGAGGCTTCCAAGTTAATTTACACATCTATCCTCCAAATAAATTGGTACAGAGAGAGGAGGACCAGCATCAAGCTCTAGAGACACTTTCTGGCTTGAAGATGTTGTGCTGGGTGAAACTCTAGGACCTGGACCAGGCCAGTGGCTGAATGCTGGCAAGAACCACCCAAAGATGATTTGGGAGCTGTAGGAGTGAAGGAGGGACAACCTCTCTGACCTTTCTGCCTTTGCTCTGGCTGAGGCACCTCTTGGCCATCCTGTTCCCTGAGGGACTGAAACTGCTGGGAAAAGCAGGTGGATAAAGGAGAATCAGCTTTCACCCAATTGCCTCTGCCCTAGAGCACTGGGAAAACTCAGGTTAGGGTTTCTGGGACATTGAAAGAAGGGAGTTTCCCATCCCAGCAAGGGTGAGAGGACACACGGTTTACAGCAGGTAGCCTCCATCCCTAAAGGACACTGTGTCTGAGGTTTCTGCTGCATTAAAGAGAGGTGCAATGTGCAAACACATTGGCCACTTTGCAATAATATCCTCTCACCACAGAGTTACTGTCAGCGGGTGACACAGCATTTGGGGTGAAAGAAAGGACCACATGAATGTCAGTGGTGTGGGACCAGGAGACCCCATTAACTCTCTCCTCTCCTGTATTCCTGCTTCAAAACAAACTGACCATTGGTTTCAGGCACATCCTACAAAAAACAGCTTTCCCAGTTCCAACCCGTGGTCTCATTATTCAAAAATTGATTGCTCCTCACCATCACACATTCCCCTTCAAAGAGGATGATCAGACATAGTTAAGCAGCTATTTAAGAACTGCACATTTTCCAGACAAAAAAAAAAAAAAAGTAAAAACAGCTAAATGGAGTGAGTGGGTTAGAATTGGTCCAGGATGCTGGTACCCTTTGTCCTAGGGAGAAAAGCAGTGGCATTTGCCAGGGATTAAAGAAATCACTAGCTGTACAATTCCTCCAGGTCTTGCTGACTCTTTTGTTTAGCATGGACTCAAAGGGCAGAGCGAGGCTCTCTCCCGCAAACGTAAACACGCCAAAATACCAGCACCATTTCCTGCAGCAGCTACGTTTCCCACAGTGGGGTTCTGATGCAGATTGCTACTGATTGCTTTGTAGGACAGGCCAGAAGCAGAGCCCTGAATGATGCCACGTGCTTGCCCTCTTGCTATACCTTCCTTCTGTTGAGACTGGTCACATCTCCCTCCAGCTGCCTTGGCCTACGTATCCCAAGCAGGGAGATTGCTGTCGCTGGTTGAAGTAGTCAAAACCCACAGCACTGGGCTCTTTCTCAGAGCAAAACCTGACCACAGCAACCCAAGGGATGAGCAAGAGCCAGGAGTGACCCTTCCTGAGCTCCCAGGCACAGAGCTTCTCATACCAGGTTGTGCTTCCCAGAAGACTTCTTTGGTTGGAAACGTTCCTCCAAGGCTTGCTTTGCACTCACTATTTCCTAGCTCATATTTGACTAGTTAAAAGTTTTATCAGCCAGGGCCATAAATTACAGTGACAGCTTCTAGGGAAACTCGGCCCTTTCGTCTCCTGCTCATTTCCTCCCTATCCCCCACCATTGATCAAACCTGCAGTTTGAGACTTTTCAAAAGCAGAAACAAAGAGAACTCTAACCCTGTCTAATTGAGACCTGGGTAAAGTTAAAAAGCAGCCACCATGCATGTATTTGTTACAATTAAATTGGCTCCTTGATATATCTGATAATTCCTTTTTCTTGTT